TGATTTGATCAATCAAATCCTTGGGTAAATTAAAGACCTTGATGGGTTTCAGGATTCGGTTGGGATCATTCGAGCTCATGTCGTCATGGACCTAATGGTGGTAGTTTTGATCAGCGTGAAACACGATATGGTGATTATGAGTATATAATTTGTTACACAGAGGGTGATTTAAATTAAAAATTAAAAAAAAAAATTATAATGGAGAAAAAAATATTACTTACTGTAATATATTATTAGCCTGTGTTCTATACACAAAGATTGAACGGATCTTCTTTATAAAATTAAAATTATAGAAAGTTTTTTTTTTTATCTTAATTATACAATAAGAGATAATTTTTTCTAATCCTTTATCTTATTTTACTCGCATATCATATGATTCGAATTCAAAATTTTTTACTTTTAGTAAAAAAAGATAACCACTGATTTATTTAAATTATTGATAAAATTATAGAAAATTAATATACCCTTTTGGACTAATCAATCCAATGCATACAAAATTTAAAAGCAAAATTATTAATATATTTTTTGATTTAATACACTAAATAATATTCATTGATTTAATTATTAAAATTTATTTTTAAATTTTTTTACTTTAAATTTAAATTTAAAAATATTACTCTCTTAACAATTAAATTGATAAATGTTATTAAGTGTATTGAATAAAAAACATACTAATTATTACCTAATTTGAAACCACAGATTTCACGTGTCCATTGCCGGCCAAAACCCACATATTGTGCTTCAATTTTTAGAGTGTATAAAATTTTACTTTTTATTTTATAATATATGATTTTATATTTTCATAATCTTAAAATTTATGATTTTATATCCTCATGATATTTAAGTTTATGATATCATACCCTTTTAAAATTATAAGATGAGAAGTAAAGTTTTACATATTTAAATATCAAAAAAATATAAAATTATATCAAAATAATATAAAATCATATATTATAGGGTACGAGATAAAATTTTACGCGGTTAAAAAATTGCAATCTGTGGGGATTTGTCGTCCATATCCTATCTATAAACAAAAAGACGAAAAGGCAAGTACCTGTCCTTGTAGGTCGACTGACTAATAATAGTTAATTAAATGCATTTTTATTAGTATAATGTTAGTTTAAATCTCTCAATCGCCCTATCGTATTTGTTAAAAAATGAAAAGACAAAAACGGATTTCACGTCTCCTGGGTAATTGCATTCTGTACGATTCCAGGAGAGGCGCTGTTATTTTAATTAGAAGGGTAACGATGGAGACGATGGAAATTTTAGATTAATGATGACGTTTATATTAATATTCTGTTATTAAATTTCACTTATAATTTTAATTATCTT